GCAATAATTAGTTCCAGTCTTTCACTAATCCCACAAGCTTAGTGATGCATAAACCCCCTTTACTCCCTCCCGGAGTCCGGAACCCTTCTCTCCCGGAGCCCGGAACCCTTCCATCCCGGAGCCTGGAACCCTTCCATCCCTGACCTCGGAATCCTTCCCTCCCTGAGCCCGGAACCCTTCTTTCCATGAGCTCGGAACCTTTCCCTCCCTGAGCCCGGAACCCCTACTTCAGTGAGCCCGGAATCCTTCCCTCTCTGAGTTTGGAACCCTTCTTTCCCTGAGCCTGGAACCCTTCCTTCCGTAAGCTAGGAACCCTTCCCTCCCTGAGCCCGGAACCTTTCCGTCCCTAAGTCCAGAGCCCTTCCTTCCGTGAGCCAGGAACCCATTCCTCCCTGAGCCTGGAACCCTTTCCTCCCTGAGCTCAGAACCCTTCCCTCTCTGAGCTCGGAACCCTTTCCTCCCTGAGATCGGAACTTTCCCTCCCTGAGCCAGGAACCCTTCCCTCTCTGAACCAGGAACCCTTCCCTCCCTGAACCCGAAACAAAAATTTTGTAGAAATAAAAAGCGCACATCGGTACTGCTGCAGAAAACAATCTTCACTCCGAGTGTTCGTCTAGAGGTGCAGATATTTAGGCATTCTATTGGCTGCATTTCACCATGCCGAGAATGCTACTTCATTGTGCATTGAGGATGAATACACTATGGATACAATGAATGCGCTATGACATCGAGCCACAATAGATAAATGTCGCTTACTGAATTACGATGTAATACAATACGTAGTAAATGCCCATAAAATTATATCACGGCAACGTGCTTCATTGAATAACGATTGTAACAAAGCGTAGTGAATGTAAGTCATCGTGAAGAAAGTAAATGGAATAACAATCGATATCCTACGGCGCAGTAAATGTTAAGACTCAACCGACAGGATGCAGCTCAAGGACAGGCGGAGCTTCCTTCGCCGCCACGCGGACACGCGCACCGACGCATGTTAGGGAGCTGTCGCATATGGCAGCTGCCCAGCGTACACTAGGAGAAATGTCTGGGACTTTGTACGAATAGCGATGCAATTGTTAAGTGATCCTGGCCCAGTTTTGCTCGGTTATTCGTTGCAACAGTGTAACCTGCCGAAAGAGTCACTTTTGCGACAATATGTCCCATTCATTATTTTGAGTGCATACAAGGTTGTCCCCCATATCAGTAGTTATTTCAACGGCGCTTAATGCGAAAATATATCCAGAGTACTTATTATGAGCAACTGATGCACGGTACTCATTAAAGATAAATTGTACGAAGTAGTACATTTCCTAACGCGATTATACTAATGTGACCATTTTAAATTGATTAGTTGAATTGATATAAACCGAAATAGGTAGAATGCATTTCAATAATTGGAACTATTCAGCCTGAAATAGGTTTAATTCCGCTCGATAATAATTGTCACGTCGCTACGGTGGGTGACCAGGCAAAGGAAGGAAGCGGAAGGCCTTCCATGAGATCGAGAAGCGCAGGCTCATGACGCCACCACACCTACCACCAACACACCTACTACCATACACCACAGCACCACATCTACCACCATACACACCACCTGCGAGGAACACAACACCACACCTACTACCATACACCACCTGCGAGGAACACAACACCACACCTACTACCATACACCACCTGCGAGGAACACAACACCACACCTACTACCATACACCACCTGCGAGGAAGTGGTGTATGCGTTTGGGGGGGGGATCATCATGTCGTTGACGGAGAAGATAAATGCATTCGTACGCGAAAATTTACGAAAAAGCCGTCAAAATACAGTCAAAGATTGATCGTTTTAGAATGTATTACGAATTTCGTCAAAGACACAGTCGAAAGTTTGATTGTTCTCCGTTTCATCTTGAATAATAAATTCAGCTTTAAGCTTCATCGACAACACTCGCCGACTTTTAGGACTTTAATGAAATTAGGACTCGATTGCTGGCTTAAGCCATAAAATTTCATCAAGAGCCGCATAGATTTTTGCAGTCAAGTTTCGCTCTACCGACTCACGCCGGCCTGGCTGCGTGAACAGTCAGGGCTCTCATGCATGCTTCAAAAATCGTGGTCAGAAAATATGGAAATTTTTTCCGCTCATGACAATAGCCTGAAGCTCGACGGTAGGGCGAGGAAGCAGCTACGTGACGATGTCGGCAGGGGAACTAGAGTGGTATTCTGGTAGTGCTCTGGTAGTATTCTGGAATTATTCTGCTAGTATTCTGGTAGTATTTTGGTAATATTCTGGTGGTATTTTGGTAGTATTCTGGATGTATTCTGGCGGTAGTTTGGTAGTATTCTGGTAGAATTCTTAAAGTTCTCTGGTAGTATTTTTGGACTTCGGTTTTCCACTTTGTTTCGAGGTAAGTATTGTGAACCTCCGTTCGATATTAAATGTTACTGTTGGGATCAAGAGATCTATTTTCAACAATTTTCGAAAAATTTCCTAAAACCACATATTTACTATTAAATATCATTTTGTGAAAGATATGAATAACTATATGCATTTTCTGACTAACAAGTTTTAAAAGTTTTTTTTCGCATTCGGTAAGCAGATAAAGGTTAGATGGCCCGAATAATTAAGCGCCTAAAAGCCGAGCTTTGTCCTGTTTGCTTCTCAGCATACACATAAACCAAGAATTATACTAATTAGCGAAGTTAAACACAACAAATATTTTATTTAAAAATACGTGATGTTGATTAACGTTCTCCGCTGCCGCAGTGCTTACGTCTTCGATATTTCCAACGAGAGCGAGTCGCGTGCGTAACACTGAGCAAGAAACTCTGATGCAAAACAACGATGTCGCGGCGGGTGGAACAAACGGACCCGCTCACTCAGAGTAATGATTGATAGTTTGTACAAATAATTATGCATGTTTTGCACTAAAAGTACTGATGAATATGGCTCTTTGTTAAATATTAAGTTTGACAACGGAAAACAACGTCGGACTTTGAGAAATTCCACTTGACGTCTCGATTTTAAAGCGTTCTTTCCAGTCAGAGATTTATTTACCCTTTGTTAAAATACTTGAAAAATGCTGATAAATATGGCTGTTTGTTTTAATATAAAGTTGACAACGGAATAAAACGTTGGACTTTGAGAAATTCAACTTGAAGTTTCGATTTTAAAGCGTTCTTTCCAGTCAGAGATTTATTTACACTTTGTCCAAATATTGATGAACTTTTTCCTCTTGCTGGGCTCATTTTAACCCAGTTCGAGCCGACAAAAGCACGTATAAGTTCTGCGTCCGCTCTTTGCTCGTGCTGTGGGTATAAGAAAACTTGTCACTATTTGGACAATATAACCCATTAATTTTTCTGAGAGCGCATACCTGAGATGGAAGTTCTGGTTCCGTTCATCGGCGCTGTTCCATTTGACGGAATTCCTGGAAACATTTCGCAATGGAATAATTGTTCGCTGCTTTGAAGCTGTCCTGATTAAATGGCGACTTCTTTCCCGTTCTTTGTTATGCTGTCAGAGGCATCGAGGCTGAGCGCTTCTTACAAATCTCGATCACATGTGAAAAACACGGTCGGTTTATGTGCGGCCAAACAACCTAAAAACGCCTATAATTATCAATGGAGGTGAATTTCAGTCTTAGAAGAAGAGGAATGTTTCCGTGAATGGAAAATGTAAAAAATTCGGAAAATTAATCTTAAAGTCCGTAATTATGTATCGCATTTGGGGGCCGTTCTCCTGAGGTTCATTGAAAGAGGAAAATAAAAGCCTTTAATTGCCTGGCAGCTGCCTAATGAAATGAGAAAAAAAAACAGGAAATGCGTCTTTTAAATCTCTCGTCTGGTCTTTAAGAATTCATGTATAGTAATCTTAAAAAGAGTCTATTCTAATGCGCATGCAAAAAAAAAACGATTTATTCGTTTTCAGCAAATATTATTTCATTATGAAAAGTTAAAACGTTCAATGCATCGTCTAAAATATGTTCTTCGTTAATTTTTTTCAAAACTTAAGCACGGATAGATGATAAGAGCTCAGAAATAAATTTCATTCAAAATAACAATAGGCTCTTTTTCCAAAGTTTCAATACCACCATCCTTTAACTTAGAGGCTAAACCGGAAAAAATTGTACTTGAATATAAGTAAGTGTCAAAATATTGCTCAAGCTGAGAAAAAATCTAGGCACAGCAGTGGTGGGAGCTGTAAATTTGAAGGCCTTATTTCGTCGAGACTTAATCGCAGGTGAAGGCTTTTACGCGCTCCCCGCGTGAGAAAAGTCGTGACGCTGCAGCCGCGCACCGAGAATTTAAATGCAACGCAACCTTTAGCCGTCAAATTAAAATAAAACATTCGGTGGCGCAGTCGTAAACACTTGAGGCTTATTGAGTGTAGGAGACATCCACATGCGGGTTTATTGAATAGACTTGTCAATTGGGGGCTTACAGAGTAAGAGGGACTTGTCACTTGGGGCTTATTGAGTAAAAAAAACTTGCTACTTGGGGGCTTATTGAAAAAGAGGGACTTGACACGTAGGGACTTATTGAGTGACAGGGACTTGCCACTTGGGGACTTATTGAGTAAGAGGGACTTGCTACTTGGGGGCTTATTGAAAAAGAGGGACTTGACACGTAGGGACTTGTTGAGTGACAAGGACTTGCCACTTAATTGGGGATTATTGGGTAAAAGGGACTTGCCGCTTTGGGATTATTGAGGGAAGGCGCTGCTGAATTTTTTTTTGTGATTTCAGGGCAAAAGATGCAGCAACTGATGAGTGTTGAAATGTTAACAGCTCAAACATTATTAATAAAAGTATTATAAATTTAACCTGACAATAAAAACACGACGGAACTTAAGTAATTTTCTAAAGATCCAGCCTGAAACATAGGACATTGGAGAGATATCGTACAGCCTGAAACATAGGACATTGGAGAGATATCGTAATGTCGAGAAGTATGATTAAGTGCTGTTAGTTGCGTATTTTATTGGCATTATAATCATCTTTACTCACCTCATCCAAAGAATTGACGAGTTGGGCACCAGCTGCACTTCCAGGCTTGCCGAGGAGCGTCTGAATTTTGCCGAGATCTCCTAGAGCTGCGGCCTTGCGTAACTCCTCGCCAGCGGCCGAAGAATTATCTTTCGTGTCCTTCGTATGGGACTGCTGAGTATTGTCATTAGTGTTAGTGTTTGCCTGGCTTAAAGGTCCATTTTTACAGCTTGATGATCCATGCCCCAGGAAGTGATTTAAACTACTTAGAAACGGCCGAGTCTGTTTGTTTTTCCCAATGAACGATGACCCGATACCAGTTTTGGTACGTTCTTTCAAGTCTACGACTTTTGGATCGATTCGAACAACTTTTTCCTTATCTTCAGCAGCTCTGCCGAGCACAACACCGCCTTCTGTAGGCCCAGAAGAAGAGTTGGAATCCCGGAGAGCATTTCTCAGTATACCTGCAGGGATGATTTCAGTAGATGATTGATTCAATACCCCCCTGCCTACCGTAGGCTGGTTAAGAGGTTCTCCGGCCTGTTTAGTATAGGTCACGCACTGCTTGAAGGCTACATGTCCACTACTTGAGCTAGGGTGACTGCTGCTCATGCTGCTGGTGTTACTGGAATTGCGAGGGATGATGGGTGGAACACTTCCTTCTTGGTCATGTTCAGGAATTGTGTTCGGAATGTTTATTTGTTGTGATGCCCACCGATTGATGTAATTAGTTCCGTTGCCAAGATTGGCGTCCTCTGGATTTTTTCTATCCGAGTTTACTATTTGTGTACTATGAATCGTATTTACATGGTTGCTGCTGAAGCTTCTTCCGGGAGGAACAATCGCAGTCAATCCTCTATCTACAAACGAATCACAAACATCTTCACGAGAAAATTGATCTCCATTAGATACACGATTGTCATTTTGAGTGTCAGATAGCCAATGCACCCCATTGTTTCTTATTAAATCACCATTACTCATAGAAGTCCTGCATAGTTGTTCAGATTCACGATGAACATCTCTTTCTGGGTTTGGGTTCAGACCATTGCTGTTCGCAAAGGTATTAGCCTCGCTACCACCGTTGTTCTGCGTAAATATTCTTCCATTTGGATCGCGATTGTCACCAATACCCGGGGTGATCGCATAGCCGTTCTTTAGAATACCGTTAGTGGAAGGACCTTTATAAACCCCGCCATCATCGAGGGAAAAACTGACATTTTTGCCAGAATCCCCATTTATGAATCGATCTCGAGGGCCATAAAAATTCCCTCCGATGGCGGGTAGAACTCGCACAGCGTTTGCAGCACCAGGCACACGTCCTGGAATGGAGGACAGGTATCCTGCATTGGCAATATTGCCTCCGTTGGTGGTTCTGTTGGACGATGTTTCTACCATCCTGTAGGTTGGGACGAGCTAACTTTTGTGTTACTGGTCATCATTGTCACTGCACATCATAAACTGCATCCACTTCTCACTTCACCGACACCTGAAAAAGTAGAAGCAAACTCAATTAATTATATGAAAGAGTTATCAAGATCAATAAACTATATTTTTATAGTCTATACGTATATAATATACAATCAGAGGTAGGCAGTAGCGCGCTACATTTTTATTTAAGCAATTGTAGCGGTAGCGGTAGCGCCCGCTACATATTTAAGTAGCGATACGAGGTTTTGCCGCTACAGCGCTACCGCTACATTTATAGAAAAGCCTTTAGATTTTACTTAATAGTATTAAATATTATTTAAAAACCAGCACATAATATAAATTACAGAATAAAACTGTACGAAAGATTCCGGTGTAATGTTGTCAACCTCAGCCTGTTACTAGCGTCAACATGTTAGTTCTTACCAGAGGTTGGTAATAGCGCACTACATTTTCAGTAGCGGTAGCGGTAGAGGCGCTACATTTAAGCAATTGTATCGGTAGCGCCCGCTACATTTAGAGCATGTAGCGGTAGCGGTAGCAGCTGCTACATTTCAAAGTAGCGCTGCCCAGCTCTGTATACAATTACATCAATTGCATGGGACACTGAAGTAAAGTAAAGAGTCTAGAGTACTTTGCCGACTTAACGTAATTTCAAAACTATAAATCAAAGACCTCAATGAGACGACTGAATTTTGTATTGAATTTCAAAAATGCGAAAAACGGCAACTGAAAAGTTAGCTGCAACTGCGAGGCATTTGCATACGTTCGGCCCATGTACAAAACGAGCCCCAAGCCTACAACCCAAATTAAGCCCAACCGCCGCCGGCCACGCCACACCCGACGGCTGGCGGCGGCGGAAGCGTCCTTTGCGAGCTCCACCTAAGTTTTTTCAACCGCCGCTTATGAATGCAATCGATAAACATAATGAATGACAGAGATAAACATAATGAATGCAACAGATGAACTTAACGAATGCAACAGATGAACTTAATGAATGCAACAGATGAACCTGATGAATAATAATATCACTCGTTTGCTTGAATCGCAAATTCACTAAAAACTTAATAGCAAAGAAAACACCACAAAAATTCATAGTATCTTTAAAGAAAACGTTTCGGAGTCCAGCTCCATCGTCAGTTCGAAAATTTGTATAATAGGCGTTTCCATGCATCATGGAAATAAAATTTATATTTTTTCAAAATAGAACCGGTTTTATTAAGCTCGGCTTAAGTAATCCGAGTTTATTGACGATGCGCTCGGTGTAAAAAACCTTTGGACTAGCAAGGTTCGGCATAATCCTTTGATGCAGAGGTCGCTGCACCACTTTTTCTCCTTAGGAATTCGAAGAATAAATGTGACACACCTCAAAACTGACCAATGCAGATGTTTGTAATTCATTTCAACTTTATCAGGCATGAATTTTGATGAAACGAGCTGCTGAAGAGAATTTCCGGTTACAAATAAGTCCCTACAGAGAGCTTATTGATGTCCTTGGAGTCTTTAGTCTGGCACTAAATGAAGAGAAAATTTTAAAATAAACAAAAAAATATATATACGAAATTTGCTTGGCTCCATACTATTTAAAAAAATCCTTCCATGCATGCAATATGAAGAATTTCTGTTTAACTATACCAATGCTATAAGAAGGTCTGCGTGATTCCTGGAATTGAAGTGCGCAATCATCAATATTTTTTCTTTAAACAATAACATGTAAGCGGTCAATGTTGTTGTAAGTACACCGGTGCGAGCGTGTTCCATGTAGCCATGTTCAGCCGTGGCATGCGCACTGCTCAGTGAAGGTTGATGTACAGAAGGTCATGTGGCATGCATATGGCGAGGTCAACAGCTGCGTCATGCCCCACGCTGCATGTAAATAATAACGTTTTGAAAAACATTAGGAATGATAGCTGCTGCCGAAGTTGGAATAAAAATAAATATAGCTAATTTTTCGGTAGTTAATAAGGGCGTCGATGGCGGATATAGCTTGATTATTGAATGTTATACAATTTTTTACGAAGAACTGTTATATGACTTAAACAAGTATAAAAAAACTTTAACCGCAAGCAAAAGAAATAAAAGTTTACCTTAATTATTTACAATTTGAATAGAATATCATCAACAAGCTTAAGAAATTTGAATTAGTAATTATGAAGCAATTGCAAGCAAGGCAATAAACTGAAATATCCAGCCTCTTATTATTTTTTCGAGCCTCAAGTAAACGGAAAAAAACAGGCATTATCTGACAAAAAATTTTTAACCTGTATTGCTTTTAAAACTTAGGATTTAGAGGCTCGTGTCTTAGAATCCTTTTTTATTATCTTTCCTTTTTAGCGCATATTCTCATTTATGGAAAAAAGGCGCTATTGTGCTCGCCATTGATGAACATAATGAATGCAACAGATGAACATAATGAATGCAACAGATAAACTTAATGAATGCAACAGATGAACTTAATGAATGCAGCAGATGAACACAATGAATGCAACAGATAAACTTAATGAATACAACAGATGAACTTAATGAATGCAAGAGATAAACATAATGAATGCAAGAGATAAACATAATGAATGCAAAAGATGAACCTAATGAATGCAACAGATGAACCCAATGAATGCAACAGATGAACTTAATGAATGCAAGAGATAAAAATAATGAATGCAACAGATAAACATAATGAATGCAAAAGATGAACATAATGAATGCAAAAGATGAACATAATGAATGCAAAAGATGAACCTAATGAATGCAACAGATGAACCCAATGAATGCAACAGATGAACCCAATGAATGCAAGAGATGAACCTAATGAATGCAATAGATGAACCTAATGAATGCAACAGATGAACCTAATGAATACAACAGATGCCGACTGATAACGAAGCAACACAATTGCCCAGACCTGAAGGCTAACTGTTTACCTGTTTTAAGAATTGCAACTGTTGTATTTTTCGCTAAAAGTTCACCTTTGTTGCTAAAGTTCGTGCCAAAATTCAGTATAATAGGCGTTTCCATGCATCATGAAAATAAAATTTATATTTTTTGGGGATGGGGGTTGAGTCAGGGAGGGAAGGGGGGAAAGGGGGGAGGCCCCCTCCCCCTCCCCGCCAAAACCAACAAGCCGCAGTCAAAAGAAGCGCCGGACGATGACCGCGTTTTGTCGTCTCCTAAGAAAACCAACGGAGCAAGAAACAACCTCTACTTAACCCCTACATATTATTGTCGTATTACGATCTAGGAATATAAGGTAGATCCAGATCAATTATGGAAGTGTCGGCACTGAAGAAATAGGCTTATGGAATGGTGAAATGCAATTATAACGTTCAGGCAGTTACTGTTAAGAGTTGTAGATTATTTGCAACCCGTTTCATTGCTAGATGAATGAATCTATATACATATAAAGAGCGATAAAAATATTTAAACCAAACCTCAAAATTATTAAGAACTAGCCAACAAAAATTGTTTAGTATGATGTTGCATACATTACATGTAGGAGAACTGTATCATAATTCCAACAATTTTATAAAAGTTTATAATAACTCAGTATTTTAAATCTTTTTCTCAAGATAAACAGAATTTATCACGTCTTTATATCGCAAGAATCAAGCAAGGTCCCTTGAAAACTGTTCAAATATTAGACGAAACATTACGTCGACAATATCCATGCAGTATTTATTGTCTGTGCGCGCATGTAAGTTGCACGTCCTTGAATGCAACCACTGCGCTTTACAACTTGTATTATTAGTCTTTTGCTTCCTTCCTTATACTACTGCATTTGCATGCGGCATTGAAATGCAATTTTTATTTGCAATTTCCTCTTCATAATGCGACGCAGCATCGGCCTGCGTCACGAAGCAGAGCGAAGTCGTGACCAACCAACCCGCACTCGCCCGCACCAGGCTCGGTGTCGCCGACACTTTTCAACACCGGCGAAAATATTCCAAAAAATTTCCAAAATATGGACACGGTGCAAAATTTTTTTGGCCACCAAGGATTTATATACCAAGGCCAGCAAACCAAGAAGTCATGTAAGCGAAGCTCAGAGAAAAAATTCATCGACTTAATTCAGTCAAAAAAAATCCAGGAACGATTTTTGCAATTCCATAAAATTTTGCATTTGAAGTCTTCATTTACAAATCTTTCTACAAAGGAGACTGATGTACATTTTTTAACATAAAATCGTTCAATATTTCTCCTGTTTGTCAGTTGTAGATAAAAAACATGGTTAGTGCACGATCGTATCTCAATTTTTTACGCAAAACAATCAGCAATTGCAGGATGGCTTACGCAACAATGCAATATTGCACAACTCGGCAATGGCGAGCCAACATAAGTATCCTCTTCATCCTTGTACAGTTTCCCGATTAAGTCAGACTAAATTTACTTGACCAAACAGCTAAAATTAATGGCTGAAGGTTAAATAAAATTGATGCTCTGAAACGCGGTAAAATATTATTATTAGTACTTTTATCAACATATACGAAACAAGCATTTCCTTTCGTTCAAGATACAGAAATTTGAATCTGAAATACAATAGAACTTTTTTTTCAGCTCATTATTTCTGTTCATGACTTTTTAACTTATTTACAACTGACACAAACTATATCGTTGAAAAATGTTGATCCAAACGAAAAATACTGTAAATTAAACCCGAGCCTGAGAATTTATCCGTATAATTCAGTGTCATGAAAAGTCACGTTCCCAGTGAAGTATCACAGTTCATTGCATCAACGAACTAGACAACCTCTCATGTATACCAGGTGCACTAGCTGTAACGGTCTCAGTTAACCTTTCACTGTTTGAGCAGCGCAAAATGTCAGCAACAACGGCAGTAACACCATAGCCAGCCAGACACACCATATCGTGGCAGTAACACCGTAGCCTGGCAGACACACCATATCGTGGCAGTAACACCGTAGCCTGGCAGACACACCATATCGTGGCAGTAACACCGTAGCCTGGCAGACACACCATATTATAAATTAATAGGAATAATCAGCAGTTATTAACTGGCGGTAATTATATCAAATTTGTACATCATAATTTGATATCGCATACTTA